AAACACTTTAAATATGTATAAGACAATAGCCAATTCCCTGCGTACACGTAATTCATTATATCCCACCATGCCCAATACGAACAGAGTGGGATACATCTAAGGATAAAAGGGATATACTCCATATTGCCTCATATATATACCTAATAAACTTATTTTGAATTTTTTCCAACATTAGTCTATATTTTGATTAACTTAATTTTGATAATTCCATATGTTGGCATATGTGTTTATTGTATAATAATTTTGATACAATTAGAAATAGGTTTCTTTCACAATATATGTCATAATATATTTTTAGTTTATAAGTACTATTTGTTATTAAGCTTTAACTTATTTTGCTCTACATAGTCATTTTCGTAGTAGGTACCTTTATGAATATAAGGCTCACTTGGTATCTTATATGTAGTTGTTTCCTTGTTTAATATAAGTATTCATATTTACATTATTTTCGTTTATTTGGCTATTATGATAACTAAGAGTTAATATTAGTAAAGTGTTTTTTAGTTATTAGAAAATACCACCACCAGGAATAAAAAAATAAATACGCTTCAATACCAAATCTAACACTGTCAAAGATATCAAATAAATGAAATGTTTTTAATTAATAACTACCTTGATCCCCATATCATTTTTTATTTCAGACGTGTTTATTTCTGAAATTTTATTAAGCGCCCACTAACAATTTGCGAGCATGGTCCCAGCAGACTTGAATAAAATTTGATAGTTTTTTATGCATTACGAGAAAGTCAAGGCTTAGTAGTTTACTATCCTGAATTAGATAGAGGTGGTCGTGAAATGAAATCAGGATGACACCAAAAATAAAATCTTGAATTTGTCAATTTATACACCGATAATAAACTGGATCACTATAACTATGTTGGATATAATATAAAAATATAATACACCCAGGTAAATGTGGATATATTAAGTATTGCATTTTCTACATCACTGATAGTTGACAATGCCTCTGACATCATTTGAGGTAAGTTGTACTTTGATATTTTTTATGACAATAAAATGTTCTTATATAGAACACAATGGAGAGTAAAATTTATAAAATCTTCCTACCTTCCAACTCGTCAATTCACCATGAGTTGAACACGCTTCCCTTAGCAATTTTTTTATAGCATAGGGGACAAACGAGCTTGTGTCTTACCTGATGGTAAGTGATTACTGTCGCCCATGAGCACCCGCAACACCAGGTGAATTACAAGTGCGTTGTCGGCTTTTTGAAAAGGAATAAGATTTTTCTAAAAGGTTCCAATATCAGTTTGGAAATACCATAGCTGGAACGTGATTTACAATGTTGTGTATGGCAAATAGGTTCTGGAAAAACGGTGGAGGATTTCCATTCATCCAGAAGATCTGGATGGTAATTTTTTTTCTAGCTGATTGTACGATAGTGAAGTGGAATTTTCAGCCTCCCAATAATTCCTCGGAACACTCTCCGTTATATATCCGATAGAAAATGCACACTTGAAGAGAGTGAGTCTTTAATTAGCATTATAATAGTACTACACTAGTAAATTACCTTTAAAATATGATTGAGTGATTTACAATATAATATTATATTTATTGACAATATTATATGTATATTTAATATAATTAATACGTAGTGTGGTGTCTGTCTGTTTGTTACCTTCTAAAGACTAAATGGGAGAATCTTAATAAAATTTGAATCGAACATAGATAGGATAGGATGTATGTTATAATAAAAACAGATGAAGCAGCGGGTATAGCTGGTATGTGATTTAAGTATACATACCTTCATGGTGTATTAGTAATCGAGCTCTTGAAAAATTGTTATATAATTAAAAAACTATATCCTTATCCAGTATATGTATATTTTAGATACCTTTAATACATTTAGAATTATCTTTGTTACCTCTAATAGTTATCCTAGAGTATACTTAGAGGTATCTTCTAGATCAGAGTCAGTTATCTCTCTAGCTATCGTATATCTATTAGCATTGCGTGTTACTTATTTGCAAGTTAGAACGCCAATCAAGCTCAATCTATTTCCACCCACACCGTAATCAATACGAAATTCAGCAAAAGTGAATTATGTTGTTTGTGTACGAAAGTTATTTCCGAAGCGTCATGGCGGGCAGAAATCGCAAGCTAATCAGCTGTTCAAATATTGACCGCGGGGTGGTTGGTACTCCTTACAGTTCTGGTTTATATCAACATCTCTGGCTAGTAGCAATAACAATAAGATACGACAGTTGTTCTAGAACAATCCTCAAAAGTGTATGTTTTGGTTTCCTTTGATATTCCAATAATAACAACTAACAAGATTCGATGTTTGTTCTGAGGAACGATCGATAAAGCTGTGTTCCGCTTCCTTTTAATATGAATTTTAATTTACGTCAACCTTTTCTGTTTACAAAAGTAAATAAATATGAAAATAACAGTGGAAATGATTATACAATTGGATGCACATTATACAGCTATAATAATTCAAATTGATCATGGTTTTACATGGTATTGGTACAAAAGTAATATACTTTTTTGTTGTTAAAGTACTTTTTACTATTAGTTGTACTTTTCAAGTTTTTGTATTTACTATAAACTTTTGATATATAGTAGTTAATCGGGTCTAAATACAAATAATTGTATCGTAAATGTAGGTACTTACGAACCTCCAGGTGTTTACAAAATTGAGTGTTTAATTATATATAATTATAGTTCTAAATTGTTATACCAGTATAGTAATAGCAGATCGAATTCTCCATTTATGAGAAAATAATCTTGCCCAGTAGAAGGACTATAATGGACTGTTACGATAACAATTGTGATAACTTATCAATGTTTACCGTAAAACTTCCTTAATAGCTTTATGCACTAAAACTACATGCTTTTATTAATAATAATTGAAAAATCAATTACGAAATATCATTTTTACTTGTTTTCAATGGGATGACAGTAAATTAAAAAGACGATATTGGAAAACAATACCCATTTACGATTGAAAATTAAAACCAACGCTCAATACACAGTAATTATTATTTATATTCCATACACAAGTGACAGTTTGATTCGTAAAATTAAACCTTAAAATCGAATTGTAATTTTTTTTATATAGCACTAATAATAAATATATCTACTATGAATTGGAAACAAACTCAACACATTTTGTTCAGTCTATCGTTGCGAATTAATATGAAATTAAGGAGAATAGTTTTCAGGGGAATCGCGTGAAGGAGAGATGGTGTATATTACTAGCAATGAAAATACTTGTAATGGGCATATTATTAACAATTCCTTCTCCATGTAGAAGGTCGGTGTAAATCGTACTTTAGCCAGATAACCTTACTCAAAGTACGTGTATATTGAGCTGTAAGGCTCAACGGTGACCTGTAGAGAGAGGAGAGAGAGTCTCTCACCCCTTGTCTATAGACCCACTACAAAAATTTGGGGTCTATGATAATTGATCTCATTTAAGTAGGTCTTATCTAAAAATATTAGATGTCATGTATGTGAATATATCTACGTACTTTATTGGTAAAATAATTGTGGTCGTTTGTGATTCTAATTAAAGGTAATTATAGTGATATTTCGTTATATGCTCGATAATATAGAACTGATTTTTAATGGATATGTATGTCACCTTCATTTAAACGGGGTCAAGGGCGTGTTGCGCGAGCTGGTTGCGGCAAACATCAAAGGGTTGGATCTCAACTGGAGCGAAGGGTTCTCAACAGTAACGAACGAGCGGAAAGTTACTGCTACTCTTGTTGATTAGGGAATCAGTAATTGAACTGATATGGTACAGGCGTAAATATGAACACAAGATAAAAAAGATATAAAATATTTTGTGTTTAGTAGTAATAATTCACGAAATCATAAATAAAAAAATGGATTTCTATGATTTGTTTAATGAGTACTAAACAAATCATAGAAATCCATTTTTTTATTTATAAATATATATATTTTAAATATTCAAGGCTTCTAGATCAATATAGCCAATCATACTCGTACCTACAAATATGTGTATATACATGACTATCTATATACATGACTGGCACTACCGACATCACGTCACTCAGGCATTGGGGAGTACTGGACCCAATGGACATTCCGACAATTGAAATATACATACTTACAAAACGAGCTGATGGCGATAAGATAGGTGACAATGGGGTACCTCAGACTCCCGCTAACGACTTTCTACAACTTTCTACCGCGGGTAACGTTATTAAAAAACTAATTCAATATCACTTGTAAAGTTCTATGCGAATGGCTCCTCCATACGAGGCGAGGACAATGTAGTTCATGATGGGATTATTTTGTTACTGCAAAGAAATAAATGAAATGTCAATATTTAAGGTTAATATTTTCTATTACATATGTATAAAGGCATTCTAAAATGTTATATATGTTTATATAGATACAAAATCAGTATTATATACATTTATTCAAATTACAGAATTGTTGAACTTGGCAAAACTCAAAACGTTCGTCATTTTTCGTTCTTCATTCGATTACTACTACATATTATAGGTATTAGTATTGGAAAATCAATGTTAAAAGATATATTCCAAAATTTGTTATGTTTGTTTAGTTTAGCTTCCAAAATACATCAAAATTTGTTCCTGTTTAGACAGAATTGTGCAAATTTGCAAACAAATTTTGATGAAGGAAGCTATTTACTAAAAAGAGTATAACAAAATTCGACCGGAATAAATCACGTAAGCTAACCCCCCACATATATGTATTATTTCAATATTTCTATGTGTAAATAAATGTAGGTCGATTTTAAAACAATCTATTTTTTTGCTAGGAGATCCGTGCGCTGATTTCACAAAAGCCTTCATTTATATTTGCAGGTGAAATGTGCATAAGCGTGGTGTGTAATGTTAATAAAGCGAAGTATGATTAATATGAGTAGAGTCAACGTTGGGCAGAGTCGGTGCGCTGCATGAATCGTAATGTCTTATACCGCTATGTAAATTTAAATTCTATCTCTGCCTCGTACGGCCAGTCAAAATGTAGTACTCCTTACTGTCGGACCAATTAGATTTTGCTTCGAAATGAGCGTTCCAACTTGAAGTTTTAACAAAGTTTCAGTTGATGTGTGAAAAGTTCAGTTGTACAGTGTGTCTGATGTTTGTGACTGGGGTACGGAGCTGGAATGTTTTTGTGGTTGTTTGTTATTTATACAGGTCAGTTCGGTATTCTACAGTGCAATTTTAGTTGATGTAATAGAACATTATTGAGATTAACTTTAAATATTTTGGATATATATGATCGTAGACATTTAGTTCATAAATAACGAACCATCAAGGCACACCACTTAATACATTTTTTTAACACCCTCGCCCACAATACTTTTAAAAAATGATCCCTAAGTAGCTGGTAATGAAAATTTATTTATTAAAAATAAAAAAAAAATTTATTACAATTGCAGAAAAATATTGTTTTAAATAAGCACTAGTATAATTAGTTCAACACTAGTATAATTAGTTATAATTTTAACATTAAACGTGTCCCTACTAAAACATTTTTCTAACTATTTGAATTTACAAATCTCCGAGCATTTTAATTGCATTTCTTATACTAATATTATCAATCAAATCCTCTAGCTTTTTTCGATTTAAATTTTATGTAGGAGTTTGAATCATAATTTGATGGCAAAAATTTACTCTAAAAATTCATCCAATAGTGACTTGATGTCTCAATGTTTGAACCCTATGCGTTGAATTTTAGGGCATAGACTTATAACGGTGTATGTTATAGTTCACATAGACTTGGTTGTAAAGCAATTAATGATAAGTGTTTTTTTTTTGTTTTTATCGCACTGTAGAAAAACTATTATACATTTTTCTGTATAGGTTACGTATCTACGTAACATTCGTGTTTTTGCCGCCAAAGAGCCAGTGCTTGCACGATTGTTTTCATTAAAAGAGACTCGAAAATTACTGATTATTAAGAAATGTGAATAATTATAATAAAAAATAAAAGTTAAAGTGTGGAGACCAGTACTAGGTAGATAAAGAATTATTATAATGTTGAAAACAGATTTATTGTTTCATATTTGATTTCATTGATAGCTTCGGTCGGTTGTTTAGCATATCGCTTTATTCTCGATGGTCGCGGGTTCGATTCCTCGCACGGTGCAAAGATTTGTATTCATAAGTATGATTGTTTATATCGGTCTGGATTAATTGTCCAGGATTATTTATTGTATTTTTGAATAGACATTTACAAAGCTATTATTCGCAATAGAAATTAGTAAACATTAGAAATTCACATTTTCTACCACATCTATTAGAATAAAGTCATATATAAGTACTAGTGACACCCGTTGACCCACAAATTCCTAGTCAACTTTCACGTTATAGAGAGTGGTGTGTTCACACGTTTAGTTTTAATTAATAGATACAGCGACGCGATAACAATCTCGTTTCCTCAGCCCTTTCTTGGATGTAAGCCACTCCGATTAAGTAGTAGGCAATAAATGATAAGAATTATTGTTCGGAATTTCTGTTTAATTAATAGGGGAAACTATTTGTAAAACTTATTTGATGAAAATATCGAAGTTTAATAACTTAATTAATTTCTATGTACATTATATATGTATTGACAATAAATATGTGTTTAAGAATTCGTATCAGTTGTTTAGTACTCATAGTACAAGCTCTGCTTAGTTTAGGACTGGATAAGTTCATGTGAATTGACTTTGTTATTATTTAATTTCAATGGATATTATGAACTACAAAACTATACATTATGTACCCTTTAGCCAAATAGATCGATTCCTTAGTGCAAAATTTGTACATGGTGTTGACCCTGACTTAATTTTGGTAATCGCTATAATTAAATATTATAATACATATTTTATGTAAATAGACCATGCAATTACCATTTAAATGTGTGTTAATATGTATATAGTATCTGTTAACGGAAAATGAACAACATAAAAGTCTACTTTATGAAGTACAGCACATTTTATATTCACCGTTAAAGAAGCCTACTATAGTTGAAACAATTTTTTGTATATATAAAATTTATAAATCTGTCCTTAATAAACAATAAATCAAATATTAGGTACCTATTTAAATTATGCGTTTTAGTTTTATAATAATTATGTGTTTTTATAATGTTAAAATTCAAAATAAAATACTACTTACTACCTTGCATCGTTTCAAGAGGTTGATATTAAACATTCAACAAAGAGCTCTATAGAAAAGTTCTTGGTTGGCAATTTCATGAGAAATCAAATAACAAATGGTGAAGGCGGACGGAACCGCGGAAAATCTTTCGCAATTCTTTGTTTTTATTCACAACATTCTATACCCAGTTGGTGCTGCAACTGCTTCGTGTTGTTTCCATTTCACCCGTTTCGTCTCGGTGGTTGATTTCGTTAACTTTACAGTAGTGAATTTGTAAAATAAAAACATGGAACGAGATTTTTATTGGAAAATCTTTTTTTACCAGACGGATACTACGTATAAGTCTAGATATAGGAATAATGTTGTGTTGTGGTTTTAAGTATGTGACCTTGATTGACTATATAATCATAACTCCGTTCTCAAAAGCTACAGGGGATTTGATATAGAAAGAGGTAAACTCTCAAAATTTAAATGCAAATATAAAAAACTTAAACATATATTTTTATATAGTCCAATAATAAGTCCATAAAAATGTGAAAATTTTAGGAGTAGATTATTTTGCACAAGCTATGGTTATTATTGTCCTCTGCTTGTCCTCGCTATTTACGCCTAAATATTAGAAGAATCAGATACTAGTCGCCCAAAGGAAACTTAAATAAATTAGAACAGAAATATGTCTCTAAGTCAATTAATTTGAAAGCTAACTTTCAAATAGTGGACAACAATTGCTTTTTGTTCGTGCCGGGATCATATATAAATAATGTTATAGTAAGTACGCATAGGCATGAATACTCAGTTCTGGGCAAGGTAGTATACATACAAAACAAAGTAGACCAATATGAACAATCATATTCATGAATAAAAATATTTTTGCCTGAGTCCGCGACCATTGGAAAGGCGGTTCTGCAATGTTCTTATAATTTATTTTATTTGATGCATTTTAGTTGTTGGAGTTGAAGGTATAAAATGGGACGCTCCAACACCATACGATCCTGTGTGGTTAGCGAGCGTCCAGGAATATGCCGTGGTACCGCCACTGAATGAGTCGAGATTTTGGTGGGGTTGGGTTTCTGAGTCCGATGTTCAATTTCGGCTATTTACAAGGTACTTTAGGCAGTAACAGTTGTGGAATTTCCTAATTCTTTATGTACTTTCCTATTCTTTCTTTACTATATTATTAAAGAATATATTAAATTTAGTAGTAAGTAAATTATCATCGTGGGTGACCCTTAGTTGACATCAGATATTAAATATTAAAGGAATAAAGTATAAATCTCATCAAAAGTTTCTAATTTGAAAAAGAAAAAGATTCTAATTTGAACTAGTTTGTGTCTATTTTTTTAAATTAATTTTATATATCTATTTCATATTTATAAACAGCAATGATATTCTTTATGTTAGGAGTAATCCCTATGATTATCAAGTAATCAAAATTAACGACACGATGTCTCTACGCAAGTCCAATTTCAACTTCTACAAGAAGATCAAAGTATTGACTCATGGATGGGTAAACAATGGCTATAGCCCTATGCCGGAATCCATAAAAGAAGGTATAGTATCACAACTATATTAATACCATAAAAATCAACTAATTAATGAACTTTAAAAATCATCACAACCATTTTGTTAATAGATTCAATGTATTTATTTTTCTTGAAAAGTATTTATAAAATTCTTCTATAAAAAATTATGCAAGTGATCATAAAGAAATGTTAGAGTAAAATTCTTGGACAGGTTCGAACGACATTTATTTTAACATATATTTATTACAACTAATCCCTTTTTTTTTCGAGAAAAGACACGGAGCTACCTAATATATAATACTACAGGTAACAAACCATTAGCTACTTGTATGCCAAGAAAAATCCTTTTCAAGAAAATACTTATATGGGATTTCATCTAGATGAATTAAAGAGTTTTAGAATATCTTTGAAATTATCCAGTCAGTTACTATTACTTTGTAATATTATGTTATCTGTGCTATTAGTAGGTAGGTATAATAATACCTACCCTATATTTATGTCTTCGTAATGTTACACCTTGTAATGGCCTGTGTTTCACATGTAGAAAGTCATCAGAGTTCTTCATCTATGCAGGAAAGTACGGTATTTTCTGTGAGATTTTTGCCCTCAAAAACCTCGCGGTAATGTCAAGATCTTAGAAATATTTCCGCAATCTAATAGGCGTCTAACATAAAGGATAATCCATCGAGTCGTTTACGGCCTGTAATACTCATACATTGTAATATGCGTAATTGTTGTTTATATAACAAAAAACCCTTCTTATTGTAATTTAGAGTGTTTTTTAAATCCTTAAAAAATTTACAAACAATGGCTATGTTGGGAGAGTCACAAAAAAGGACACTTTTTAACAAAGTAGCGTCTTCCGTGAATTTATTTACTTCCCATCGTTTCATCTCAAGTCACGGGCAAAATATGGTTACTGAGTATTGCGTAATGACTGATATTTATATAACATCCTTTTGAAATATGAACGAATATTTTTCCAATATATTTCATTATTATTTTTTGATACCAATGTCTGAAATATATTGTAAAATATAAGAGCCCAATATATTCCTAATTTAATTGAACTAAATATGTTTGTTTAGGTAAAAAATAATCGTGGACGCGAGAAGTATCAAATTCGATGAGTTTTATTAACATAGAGCAAATTATTCCGGCTATGTTATTTTTTGTTATTAATTTTTAGTAATATTAATACAAATTTGCGACAATAATTTCTTGCAAAGATCTAATTATTTTCATGGGCAAATTATTAATATGACTTCTTAATGCTAAAAAGAAGGCCAAACAAATAATAAATATGTATGTAGGTACCATACTATTTATAGGATCGCTCCAAGTTATTTGCTAAGTTTGGAAGAGTGTCGAAGTTGTTTCTTGGAAACGGGATTTTGTATGCTATATTTAATGTGATTTGTTGAATGATCCTTTTGCATTCTAGCAATCACTTAATATGCTAAAGTAGTTTAGTGACCTGTTACTTACGAAAAATTGCCATTATAAGATACTAACTGTCCCGATACACTTTGTCATGTCTTAGCTATGACTATTCAATCCGAAGGGTCTTATAAAAGCGAACGAGTCAAACATAGAAATAGTTGTTAAGTTTTCTGCAATTATCAAATTTTCTGATTTTTATTGCTTTCTCATTGTACCAGATTTTTTTATGAGATATTAGAAAACAATGAAAAAATTTAATAACATTGGTTCATTTGTTTTCAAGTTGTGTTGTAACCCAATTTTTATATATTTTATTATGGTTTTATTTTGCAGCCTACCTAAATGTAAGCGATGTGAACATAATTGTAGTAGATTGGAGTAACGCAGCAAATGTTAACTATATACTGGCTAGTTATAATGTAGCCATGGTGGGGAGGCTCCTTACCAATTTTCTAAACTTTCTCATTAAGGAAGGTGTCTCCATGAATGATGTGCACCTAATAGGGCACAGCCTCGGTGCCCACGTCTCAGGCATAGCTGGTGCTCATGTGAAGAAAGGACCCATTTTTTCCATAACCGGTAACAATCAATAACTTGTTTGTAATATATATTTAGAATAGCTTTTTTCGTAGTTGCTTTTCAATTAACTATCAGTAGAATTTGTAACAAAGTTGTAGTTTAAGACTATAATTACATTACCATATTATATTGTAAAAATACATAAATTTTATGAACCGTTACTTCAAAATCATTTCTTTAGAAATAATGGTTCGTAGAATAAACAATCTTGTTTACTGTGTCTACTGAGATTGTTTACTAAAAAGAGCAAGTAAAGAAAAGTGTACGTGTAAACTTTTAAAGAGATTCTAATGAGCCCATTAATTTTAAATTACCTAATGTTATTTTTAGATACAACAGAATGGAAATAACCTGTGTTTCTATTCACTTTATTAAGATATCTTCTATTACAGTGTCTCATTTTCGAAAACAGCGTCGATAAACGTTAATTATTTGTAATAAATAACTCTCTATAACATACATATATCATTTTGAATACTAATGTAATGTGTGATCCTTCAGTATTGTTACAGTGAGCAATGTGTCATTGCTGAGATGCTAAGATATTGCACTGATACATCGCTGATCTATGATAGCATTAAAATGCAGGATATCGGCGCCATAGTGGGCTTCAATATGCTCAATCAGCTATAAAATTGGCAGTTTTATAGATGCACTGGCAGTAGCTTTGCATACAATGAAGGCGACCTGACATAAATCTTAATAGAGAAAGGCACACTTACGGTGGATTTAGACCAAGCAAATAAATCCTTGTACTTGCACAACGTGTGATACTTCTATCACTTCCTGTTACTATAAATCTTATAAATATTTTTTAATAATATGTAGTAAATTGTTACAAATAAATGATTTTTTTTGTTTTATACCTAAAATTCTCATGAATACCGATTTTCTAAACCCAAAGATATGAATGTATAAGTATCTATTTGATTACATTCACATGAAATTTAATCTTGGAACTTGATACATGAGAAATATTTTATATTCTCATTTATATTAATTACTATTTGACATCGTAATCTTTATTGACGATTTACTCCAACTGCAACTTGTTCCATTTGAAAGTAAAAATACATATTAATTTATACACACGGCTAATGCGGTTTGCATTATGCGTTTAGTGAGATTGTATTACAAGTTATACTCATTGAAGAGAGATTATGGTAACATGTAATTCAGTGGTTATTTAAAGTATTTCTTATTGTATATGTGCTAATGTTATATGTACATATAAAACAATATTAAACTAACCTATTTAGGTATAGTATAAATATAGGATAAGACATAGAAACTAGTGTTTTAATTTTTAGATATTCTTTAAGGTTTAGGCTTTTGATTTCATTATTTTCAAAAAAATATCAATGCTTAATTCATCATATACTTTAATGTTGCTTTTCTGTGATCGTTGTTTCAGGATTAGATCCAGCTTTGCCACTTTTTACTTTTGGTAATAAAGATGCAAGACTGGACAAACATGATGCCAGGCATGTAGAAGTCATACACACTTGCGGTGGCTATCTTGGATTTGCGTCGCCTTTAGGACATATCGACTTTTATCCAAATGGTGGTACGCGGCAACCTGGCTGTGGCTTCGATTATAGAGGTAACTCTTTAATCATTATAATAATAACCCTGGACAATTCACGCATCGTCACCTGTCTCAAGCTAAGCAGAGCTTATATTATGATTTATGATACTAGGCAACTGGTTGAACATACTTAGATTTTTTTGTATAAAATTGTTTGTATAGTGCGAGGAGTCGAACCCGCGACTATTGGAAGTAAGGCATTGTAGTAATATGCTAGACTACCTAGGTCGTCAATAGATACCTATAGGGATCTAAAATTTAACTTAATTATATCGGCAATAAAATACGCAGGTTCAAATAAAAAATAATAAGCTTATACAATACAATAGCTTATGTAATCGGTTTAGTGACTATTCATGATAGTGTTTAAATATTAAATCGTTACTACGCATCTTATCATTATCGCTATATATTTTAGTAATACTTTAAAATGACTACACATATATTACCAGTTTTCTATATCAAATAAATCAAATCAAAATATCTTTATTCATATAGGTCTATTACAGATTCTCATGATATGTCAAATCCAGTGTCAGTTCAAAGTGCTTTCTAGTTGGGAAGAATTGACAAGAAACTCAGCTCTTATTCTTTTGAAATAAGCTTGTACATTTGTACAAAAATACAGTTACATTTTCGTTGGCATCGGCATTTTCAAATTCATATTTGGGAGAACAGAAACTCATTTATTTGATAATTTTAGTATCAACTATACTAACATTATCAAATAAATTCAGAAGTTAGTTATTACATTTTATTTATTTATATAATTCTTACAAGTATATACGATATATAATTTTATTTATAAAACTGCTAATTTAAAGGTCTATGCGCCCATAATCGGGCCCATATGTTTTTCGCCGAGTCCATAATTTCCGACGTGCCCTTCACCGGGGTCCGGTGTGAGAGTTACGACGAGCTCTATTACCACGGCTCTTGCAAGGGCACCGGGGAGACGTTAATCATGGGTGGTTTCGACGTACATTTCGGGTGAGTTGCCTTATGATCAGTTGATGTGTCTAGCTGAATATACAGTACCTACGTGGAAAGAATTCTGATTTCTTTTAACACAGTGTTAACGGTTTTTGTCGTAATGTAATATGTAGTTGTAGGTAGTAGGTAATATCAAAAAGGTTTTCTAAAAATTGCAGAATACATATCCCTTGGTTACTTGAAAACCAATTTCATATTTTCAAATATAAATTCACATCAGCCTATTTGCAGATGAAATTTCTAAACTATTTTTTTACATACTTGTGTCATCATATCGTTTTATATTTATTTATTATTATTCTACATCTTATATGAGTTTCACTGCTTTTATCATATCAGTACCTCCTCCTCAACTATAACTTTTATGACATGATGTGAAATAATGGATCAAACAAATAGCACTAAACGCTTTATATTTTTAATATTAGTATGTATAATAAATATCTAATGAATATTCCGTTATGTGTATAATATATAATAAATAACAATATTGGATAAATTTATAGTCAGGTGGATAATAATTTATAATACTTCCACGATAGTTTATTTTAAATTATTTCATAAACAATATTGGCTTTACCGTATCTATGTTTATACAAACAAACAAGACTCGCTCGTTACGACAACATTAGCTTAAATCTTGAAGATCCACGTCTATTGTTTTGTTTCAGGAAAGATGGAATTTACTACCTCAAAACGAACGCAGACCAACCCTACGCAATTGGGGACCCGGCGTGAATTACGATGAAATATTAATCTCCAACAGTGCCAACTTCGCCTATAAATTAAAATTTCAAAGGGATTATTTTTGAGTCAGTCAAAAAGTGAACTAAAAGCAGTTTTAAAAAAAAATTCTTTCACTTATAAATATGAGTACTCATACCCACAACATATTTTCAATTTATTTTTTTTATGAAACAATAAAGGAAGCTTCTATCGGTGTACTTTTATTTTATAATTAATTTATTTTTGGTTGTCGAAAAGGATAACCGATTTTTTGATCGATGATAGCTTTTTGTTTAATGATATGAATGCGATGCCTCGAGTTCTACAGAATTGATGACATGATTGATCGATGAATATCCGAATGAAGTTACTTGTTTGTTGTAAAATGATGCCTAATATACTTTTTCTTAATTTTTATTAGGAATTTAGGAACTTATTGTAAAGGAATAATTTACTGACATAACTCGATAGATTCAGAATAACAACGATCTTATATACTTACGTTATTTGAATAGTACGATAGGTTCAACGATTGTCTAAATAGAGAAAACTGTGTCTTTTCAGCTTGTCAACAAAGTCGTATTTGTTGTTATTTGTTGTTATTCCCTTTAGAATAAATCGGTTGTTGATATTAGACATAGACTACAAAGATACAAAAGAACATGTATACCTCTATTATTTTCCCTTTATTTTTTTAGTTATGTACCTAGACATACTATACAACAAATAACTAAATAAACAAGAGAAAGAGAATCATTTTGCTCTTTGTTGTAACTTGGTAAGATAAGGGCAGACTTTTTACTTTTGGGTGAATTAGTCTGTATTGGTACCGGGATCCTGCTAATTTTAGCCGGCAAGCAGCTTGCTTTGCAAGATGTTTTCCGGTTAAAGGGTGAGATAAGATAGTGAAATTACGTTATAGTAAGATATTTTCGTTTCTGGAATGTTACTGCATGAGTATGAGCCATGAACCATTAGAAACATAATAATATTTCTGTGGTGCTGTTCATTTACTAATTTAGTATATAGACAATGACCAATTCGTACTATCAAGTAGCTTGATAGTCATTCTAATCATTACATAGTATAAAACAAAATCGCTGTCGCTCTATGCTCTATGTTGCTGTATGCTTAATTATTAAAAACTACATAACAGATTCTGCAGCGATTTTTTTAAATAGATAGAGTGATTCAAGAGGAAGTTATACGTATGGAAGGAAGGAAGGTATACATGTTCACTCGTGCGAAGCAGGGGTGGGAAGCTAGTTACATATAAAAATACAGTTAAAACCGAAAATATTTTATAAATTACGATACAAATAATTTCTCAAAATAACTATATAACTATACATATATATATATATATATTTGGAGTCCAGTAAAAGGGTACGTAGTAAATACGTATAAGTAAATTTTACAATACATTTATACGTTGAGCATTCGTGATATTTGCCAAGTGTTCGGTATTTAGTCTAGAAATATGTAGAATTTGTATTCCTCTTGGGGTTGTTCGCCCGACGCCGCCGGAATATTAACCGGATGTAAAGAAATAATGTGAGGTAAACCGCTGCAGTGAGACGTGCAGGGTGCATCCTCACAAACACGTGCTTCTTCTGTAATCTATCATAATGTGATTTTAATAATATTATTTAAGTACTTTTATTACAACTAAATATTAAAATTATTTTCATTGTGATAGAGTTAATATTCATTCATTCATAACTTAAGAGCAGTGCTCTTATTGGTGGAGCCCCCGCCACCTTCCACGATCTTCTATCAATCTTTTTAGCTGTTGATTCGACACAACTCCAACATTTTCCTTAACTTTCTTTGATGTAGCTGTGTCTTGGTATTCCCCTTCCTATCTTTTCATTTATTTTTCCTTCTATAATATTATTAAAAAGTTAATAAAGATATATATGAAATTATTATTATTGAATAAATAAAATTAAAAATGAAATAGTACATTCGTACAAAGTCTCATCTATTTCGGCCTCCAAATAGCTTGCTTTATCAGATTGTTTCGGTTGAATAAGTTAGAATATGGAATTCAAATTACTCACTACGGAGGGATGACACCTTATTCTTCCTAAACGGTAACGAATTCTAATTCGTTACCGTTCAGGAAGAATGTCGTCATGCAATAGTAGTTGTCTACAACTACTATTGCATGACGACATAAAAAAGAACAATAGCTACATAATATAATTTGTAGTTAGATATTTAAGCTTTAACCGACTTAATAATTTTTTATACATATTTATTACATTAAAATTTAAATCGTATTTGTATATTATTAAGATTTAAATCTTTTTGTAGAAGCGATATAAATTAGCTTGTTGAACTAACCGTTTCCTATGCCTACTACTGACGGTATGGTGAGATCTGCTATACAAAAATAACAATGTGAGGATAACAATTATAAGGAGAGACGTAAGCGGTAGTCTAAGTTACTAGATACTTCAATGGCGTCTTTGGAGCACCCAAGAGTACACAATGTATTTGTACTTCAAAGCGATTTATTTTCAATAGTATTTCCAGCTATTGGAAATATCTTTTGCTGCAGAGTTCTTGAAGCGAACTTGCGGAATAGAAAAAAATATGTCCTTGCTTCCGCTATTACGTAGAATTATGGCCTAGTCGTTTACGTACACTCTTTCACCCCGGTTTATTTTCCTTCAATGGTAATGCAATAGTGTTGTCGTTTCCTGTAAGGTATATTCAATACTGCGCACAATACTACTGTCTAGTTTTTCCTTCGTTACCACAAACATGGTTTTTATAGATGCTACTTAAAAGGCTTAGTTAATAAATCTATTATGTAATGAATTTGAGGAATTTATTTACACTTCATAGAATATAAATAAATTCATTGACTTAGACATTAAGTGGTAAAAGTTGTTTATAAACTTGAACAATACAACAAATATAAATTTAATTGTTCATACATTTCACACACATTTCAAAATTTCATACAATACGTTTCTTTCATACATTTCAAAAAGTTGAAATAGTGCGTATAAATTACTTATAAATTGAGCTCAGAAAAGTCGACTTCACTTTGAATGAAGTTAGACTCGGAGATCTAATGTAAAATTTATGTTGTAAAGTCTAATAAATTAAGTTTATTAATTTACTAGACTTTACAACATATATACACTTTAGCATAATATAAAAGAAAAAGTTCAGTCTTAATAAAATATTATTGTTATTTTTATTGAGTAGTAATATTAAGATATTTGATATAACACGTAAAATTATATTTTAGGTATTTGCGTCGTTTATTTGAATAACATTATAGTCATCATAAAATGAATTGCACTGTTTTGTACCCTAAAACTGCTATGTATGTATCAAGTTAATAACAATGTAATATGTAAAAATATTGTGAGGTGGCAATAGTGTCATTGTATAGCACTATTTTAGTACTTTGCGTATTGATGTTCAATACTTTATGAGGTACCAACCACTACTTACTTTTGATGACTTCCATTATGGCGAATTCCATTATGTTTGTATCAGATACTAGAAAAATTATATTTAGAAAATACATTATGATAATTTTACTAAAGTTATTACCGAAAATATATAATTAATATTTATATAAAAATAACAACATACACTATAAAATTCTCACACACACGTATATATTTATACTCACGTATATATAAATATAATATACAGTTTGTATGTATATATATAATTTAGGATATATGTTTTACTCACACACACAACATATATATCAAGGAAGACTTTTAAGGGGGTACGTTTTTTTTTTTTTTTCACGTATATATAAATATAATATACAGTTTGTATGTATATATATAATTTAGGATATATGTTTTACTACAATACAATTTTAAATTTATACCACTTGCGATAAACAAACAACATTCCAAAATGATTATCAAGGAAGACTTTTAAATGCCTGAAGCTGAACGGACCAATTTCAAAAAACCACCTCTAATTCCGAATTCAAGAAGCTATCAAAAATGGTTTAGGAGCAGAGACACAAAACAATGGTAGACTTTCGTTCCTAAACATCTTCATTCTGAAATTGCTAGCTACTTAGCAGTTATTATCTTTAATGAAGGTTTTCAAGGTATTTTAAAAGTTATGTCGATTATGGGATGCCCTGTTGGTCGTGAAGCCCGAGCGTATGTTGAGAAACCGAATCTTACGCTTGTACACTCTTTATAGTGCATTAAATAATTAAAAAACCTTCACTTCCAATAAATCCTGACTAATGTAATAAATAATGGAGAATATGTTTTTTCATTAGTTATATTTCTTCTGCTTTTTTAAAAGTAAATTAAAACAGGTTTTTTAGGTATCCGTTACGATTTAATAGACTTCTTCGATATGAAGTACTATATAATAGAATAGAATGTAATAACTTTGATGAATAAAATAACTTCATAAATGTCTTGAAATCTAGAAATTAGTTGGTTTGAATTTGAATCTAGAATTTATATGGTTGGAATTTAGTATTAAATGTGTAATGCAATATCAGATATCTATTTATAACTATTTTATTTTATTTTATTTATAACTATTATATGTATATCTAATTTGTTAATATGTATACTTATATGTATTAATATTTATATTAATATCAAGGGATAAATATTAATATTACTAAATTTATTTACCGTTACCTGCTCGTTAAAAATACGAATTCGAACGACAGTCTATTTATATATGTAGGAAAGTGCTTTGAAATTCATTTGCGACTATAATTTTCAGAGCGTTGCAACCGCAGTCGACCGAGGCATGTTTATAGTCAAAGTTAGATGACCCCATTCACGAGATCGACACGTACATTCCTTCAAGAGAGTATCATAAAACAACATGAAATGAACTCGCGAAATATACATTATTACAAGTCTACAATGTATTTTACAAAGTTTTCAAATAAACTGAACCATTAGATCCCATACACTCACGAGTATGGTCATTAGACTCATCTTGTTTTTTATAGCAAGTTCTACGGACTGTTGTACAAACCTGTTGTTGGAGTATCAAAATAGAGTGGTTAATGTGTATTGCAACTCCGTCAATATAAATTCCAAACTTTATATTAATTTAAAATATACCTATTATGGAAATTTATTTAGCATCCTGGATATTTCTAGCAGTTTACATAAAACCTTAATGAATTAAAATTATAC